ATGACTATCTCTATAGCACGTGTAATATCCCTGTCCATAAGCTAGTTGACTCCTCAAACAAGTTCGAATATTTCTTGATGATCTGCCATATTTCCCTTCATATTTCAAAGGTTTGTCCCTTAGGAGAAATGAAAACTAATTGCCTACCCTCTCCCCGACTCTGTTTGTAAATCATTTACAAAACCAGCAACAAAGAGGGAATCGTAGGACTCTCTACCATTAGTAATATACATCCTTACATGCACAGTCCTACCACCCAAAACAATATATAGCAAGGTCTTCATGTGTACCTAACTTGAGATAGTACATTTCTAGAATCACATCAAATGGCAGATCACTTACAACTTGTGTCCAATTTGTCCTCCCCCATAAGAGGAGGTATAAACTGCTTCCTTGATGCATTTTGCAACTTCAATGCTAATCTTTTTTATCTGCTAAGGGAGATACTGCACGTCTGCTTAGTTGCTTCACACGATCCTTTAGATGTCGTACCTTTACGCAAGACCTACTAATGCAGTTTTGTTTCCACCCTAGATCTAAAGTATGTCTGCCCTTCTTCCACCTATGCGCACTTCTACCATGATTAATTCTCCTTGTTGACCATTTCTTTTAGTTGTCATGGATGCTAATAGAGTATTTGTGAAACCTCTATCTCTAGTTCTTCTAGGGGTTTAATCACGTCTTTACAACAAAGTGTCTCCTGGTCAAATTGTGAAAGTCATGGTCAATGTCTGAGATGATGAGGAAGAAATTCCTAATCTATCTAGGACTGCTTTTCGTAAATCTATAAATACTATAGAGGTGGCTAAATTCCCTATTGGGTGGTCTCGTTTTCTTGTGCATTGTCGGGACAACGGTTTTTTATATGCTTGGTCTCACCACACATACTTGCCACCACATCCTTTACCTACCCGCACGGTCTTTGACAACCCTTTCTTGACCCAACTTGGGACGAACTCGAAATTATTTTTCTATCTCTTTGCAGGTTGCTCGGGACCAGCACCCATAGTTCATTTGCGGTGTTGTGTGCAACAATCAAATTATGGAACCTCTTCTTTACAAGATCCATAAAATCCTCTAGGGTCAGGGTGGTAGCCCAAGCCCTAAGATCTCTCCCATAGCCCGCATTAAGAACTACTCCATTCAGCCATGTAGATGCAACGCCCTTCAGTTATGATGCAGCAACCACCTCCTTGCTACGCCTTCTCTCCTTCACCCTCACAAACTTTAGGACAATGGTCAACCAAGTACCAAGGTTCTCACCACTTTTCTTCCCGAAGAAAGATTGTGGATTTTCCAATGCAGTCTTGATGAAAGGCGAATACGACAGCGGTGAAGGGCCTGTATCGCCCAATTTTGGTGATGGGCCTAAGAGGCCAAAACTGGGACGAAAGAGGTCTGCACCGCAACTTGTGGTGCACACGCAGCGGCTATTGTGGATGACCTATGGATGCCAATCTCATATCCTGGTGATGGCCTCACAAGGGAGACATGTGGCCTTGTTGTGGCCACAATTTGGCTAGAAGTTGGTCAAACATTATATAGAATCGTGTCTCTTTCTGTAATGTCCAGTGTTATTGCCAAAGTTTCCACTTTTTGCAAATCTCTCGTCTGTATGTCTGCACATGCCTGTTTTTTACATTTTGCTTATTGTTATAGTCTTGCTAATCAAAGATCTTCTACTAATTGTTGTACTACTGCCTACAAACTGACAAGACACTATTGAGCTGCTCGTTGCTTGAACTACAAGCTTAGAACTCACAGAAGTTGAAGATTCACCTCCTAAAGTTCTCTTTCGCCACTTTCGGTGAAAACTTTGACTTGAGCAGCATAACTCCGCGAGATCCTCCTTCACTCGGATTGTTTGGTGGCACACTCGTACACCGTACTAATAGCTACTCACTCAGTGCAAGGCACCTTGTTCCTGCCTTCTACCTCGGATTGTTTTGTGTTTATTTGGCCATGTTTACTTAAGAAGACCAAGATTTAATTTCACTTGTGTCATTATACAAGTACTTTGCAAAATTTGTGCCATTCACCAACTGTCTATATGCAATGCAAAAATCAAAGGCCAAGGTAGACAACTAATAAATTTATGCCGCATCCTTAACCATACAAAAGGTATGTCCTACAACTTTACAAAAGCAACAATTAGCACTACATGATTGGAAACCACAACTGTCTAATAAAGACAAATAAATGAAATTGAGCAATTAACTCGCATGTACTCAACTCAAGTTCAGCGGCTTTACCCGCCCCCTTAACTAACAACTAGTCACTAATTTCCAAATTATGTCGTAGAGAAAGTGGCCAACAATAGGGCACAAGCAGCCTAGGGTGCACGACCAGGACTCACAAGGTGTTGCATACTGTAATGGTGCAGACCAGAATAAGAACCGACCTCTCTCACACAGTACAAGATAGTGTAGCGGAAGACTTAGATGCCAATGATCCGAACAATCAATGTTGCAATGCAACCCCAAACATACATCATCATCATCATTCCATGGTGTGAAGGGGCCTGGCACTCACACAGGAAGAATGTGCCAGTCCCCAACCATACACAAACGAAGAAGAACTCTCTCTCTCTCTCTCTCTCTCTCTCTCTCTCTCTCTCTGGTACTAACCTGTGAAGTTGGCGCCTTGATGCAGGTACCTCGAAGATGAAGCTGGAGCTATGGCGCCACAGGTGAGTCCCCCTGGCCTCCGCCAGTCATCTCTCTCGCCAATGCTACTCTACCACTACCAGCGCCCAGTACTGAAGACTACTACTACAGCTACTAGCGCCCAGAGCTGAAGACTACTGCTAGCGCTAGCGCTACTCCTGCAGCGCTCCTCTAGAGTGTTGCTGCTGAATCCTGAAGACTACTCCTGCCTTCCACCTACCCGTGAAGTGCATGGGAACTCCCTATGTACTACCTCGGCCGGCCTCCTGACTGCCTCCGACTACCTGCAGTTGCAGGGCGGGGCAGTCCAGGAGGCTGCTCTTGCCAATGCCAAAACGAGCCAGGGCCTGACGCTGCAGCTCCTGCTGAGGCTGTCGTGGGAACAAGCCAAAAATAACTTGTTCCTTAAGCCCTGATTTTGTGCCCGAGTGTTATTATGAGGGCCCGAAAGTGGCCCTCCGTTTCAGGCTGAAAAGACTCAGGGCCTGGACGGCCCTGTTTTAGGCTGAAACGACATAGGGCCTACAACCATTTTCAGGCTTTCAAGCTGAAACGACACAGGGCCTGTAAGCCCTTATTTTCAGGCTTTTAGGCTGTGAACGCTGGTCGGGCCCTGCAGACCCGTGTGGCTGCGCAATATGCCACAACCCTCCTTGAAAGACCGAGCTCACCTGCGAGGGCGAAGCTGTCTGTCGGAGGGAGGGACCACAGTCCGGATGGGAAGGGCAGGTCGTGACGTTCCCTAAGCTAAACTTTGTCGCTCGTAGTCAGCGTAGATCAGCGGTGCGGATGTTTTCAAATCTGCTCCTGAAATCCATCGCGTGTCGTCTGGATCGCATGCTTTGAATGTAACCTTGTTTTGTCGGGGCTTGCCGTCGTACTTGCGATCCGTGATGACGCGGTGTCGGGACCGGTGGGTCCCGAATGAATTCCCGTCACTCGAGAACTTGGATTTGGCCGATTTGTGCACATCAGAGAAAATCGGGAGCAGAGACGAGACGCGGAAAAGACGGGCCGTCTGGGGGGAGCGGCCTATCGGGTAGAAAACAACGAGGGAAGCTGCAAAAACAGGAGAGACGGCTACGAATACGCAAATGCAGAGCAGTAGCGACAAGCGCCGGCGCGGGAGGCCGCGGGAAAAGTCGAGCAGTAGCGGCAAGGAGGCCTGGCGGACAATCCGAAATGGTCGGGGCCAGCCGGGCCAAGAAAAATAAAGTTCCAGGAGGGCCGCAAGGAAAAAGGGCTGCCCGGGGAAAATCGAAGTGAAAGGGACCTAGACGGGGAGTAGCGGCGGCCAAATGGAGCCCCTAGAGCCGCGGGGGTACCCAGACTGCAGTCCGAGGCACAACGGCCATGTGCCGGCTGCAAAATCAGACTTTGGGTGGGGCCCAACAGGTAGAAAGAGGGAAAATAGCTGTTGGACACTTGTCCCAGCTGAAATAAAGGAGGAAGGAGAGAAAAGGGGGAGAAAAAGGAGGAAGAAGAAACAGAGAGGGACGAAAAGGTGGGGAAAAAAAAATGCCGCCAGGTTGGGACTGCAGCAGTAGGGACTGGCAGGTCTCAATGATGACCTCGTCCCTCCAAGATTCTAGGAGGGAAGTCCGGATTGCAGAGATAAGGCCCTTGGGGCATTATCTCTGCAATATCTTAAGTTAAATCAGCAAAAATGCAGCAAAATGCTGATGTGAGTTGGCCGGCTATTTTTTTGACCTTAGATCTGAGATCAGATCTTGTGAAGGAGGAGATCTAGCCGTTTTTTGTGGGCTGACACAAAACGGCTAGCTCCGGGATGAGGTGGCAGCAAAATGGAGGGAAAACAAAGCAAGGAAAAGGACAAAACTGGGAATTTGGCCCAAGGGTTGGGACAGATTCATCAGAAAGTTGAAAATTGAAGCAAAGGCCTCAATTTTGGAGGTAGGGAGACTTGAAAAGAGGCCGGAGCATTGTGGACCTTGGATCTCAGCCAGATCCAAGGCTGATATGGATGCCGCCAATTGAAAAATGCAACGGCCTACTCCAAAAGGGCCTACATCTGGAAAAAGACAAGAAAAGGGCCTTTAGGCCCTCATTTTTCACCAAAGGCAGCATTTTGGGCATGGGTACCCCAAAAAGACAGCAGCTTGGGAAGGAAAAGAGGCCAGGGTAGGCCTATGAGTGGTCCAAAGTGGTACCAGCCACTTCGGCTGCATGTACCCGGCCAAAATAGGGCCCGGGTACCTCCAGAGAGGCCAAAACTTGAATTTTGGCCTTGCAGGTACCTCGGCCTACCAAGGGGGCACTTGGAGAGGCCTAGAGGCTAGGCGGTGCACTAGTTCCAGCCTACATAAGCTGGGAGTGCTGCCCGCCACTCCCATTTGAGCATGAGAGGTGCCCATGCTAGAAGAGGCAGAGTTGATCGACGCGTTCCTCGACTACGAGGGCGGGACGCTGGTAGTAGACAGCGAGATGGCCAAAACCACTTGCACAATTGGGGAGCTATTGATCAAAGCACTCGAAAAGGGGCCTCCGGCAGTGGTTGCCGAGTTAAGGGAAGGAACGGTCAGCAGAGTTGGAAGGAGGGAAGAGAAGGGCGCCTGGGGCAGTGTTGTGAAGCCCCGGGATGAACAAATCGCACTAGCCATTGAGGGAGGCTGGAGAAGGGTTATGAGCATGATGGAGTCTCAGAAGCTGGAGATGCAGCACTATCAGGCCTATCAGGTGGATAATAATCAGATGGGTACTCAGGAAGAAGAGCAGTTCTTCCTCATCAAGTCATATGAAGGTTTGTTTAGAGAAACTCGGTTGCTACTGGTGGGAAACAAGGAACCCCACGAGGTTAGTCCTAAAGCTAGGGAGGAAGCGGATAGGTATGTGCTTAGAAGGGGGCACCTATTTCGAAAGGAGGAAGGCCTGGCGCCCAGGAGAGTAGTCTGTGGAAGGATGCGACAACTCGACATTATTCAGGCCATGCATGACGGATTGGCCGGTGGCCATCGCTCATCCAAAGGGACCCTAGCCAAGATAACGCCGCTCTATTATTGGCCGGGAATGRCAWYKATGGTAGCCACGTACTGCCAGACCTGCAAAATCTGCCAGGAACGAAGCACGGTCCGCATTTTCGAGCCACTTAGACCCACCCGCGTGCTGGGGCCAGGGCATATGGTACATCTCGACCAGGCAGTCATGCCGGTTTCCAGAAAAGGGTACAGGTACATACTTGACGCAAGGGATAACCTTAGTGGGTTTGTCGAGGCAACCGCGCTCAAGAAGAAAACTGGGTTTGCAATTGCAAACTGGGTGGAGGACTTTTATCTGAGGCACCCGTTCATCAGGAGATTCATAGCCGACAATGGGACTGAGTTTGTGAACCAGGACGTCCTGAATACCTGCAAGAGGCTTGGCGTACCGATCAAATTGACAGAACCATACCACCCTGAGGCCAACGCGCCAGTCGAGCGAGGGCACCAAATGCTTAAGAACACGATTGCAAAGTTGGCAGCAGATGACCTTGGGAACTGGCCGGACTATCTCATACACGCGGTATTTGCCGAGAATATGACACCAAAAAGGACAACAGATGCATCCCGGCAGAGCTATGGTATGGCAGGGAGATTGACTTTTCGGTAGAGGCCCTAGTACCCACCTGGAACAAATTGGAAGATGACCCTCATCTGACTACGGAACAATTGATTGAGGCAAGGTGTGAACGAGCGGCCAGGAACGAGGAAGCCTTGGAAGAAATAGCTCACAAGGTACTAGACAGTCTCATGAAGGACAAAACCAGGTGGGACCAATTGAAGAACATCCGGAAGGAGCCTCTGCAGGTCGGGGAGATGGTCCTAGTCAGAAATTCGGCACTAGAAACTACATGGTCAGGCCAGTTGGGGCGGCGATTCAAGGGACCTTACCATATTGCAAGAAATTTGGGTGTGAGCACGTTTGAGATTGAGAACCTGGATGGGATCACTCTAAGGGGGCCAGTCCCTGCGCAACGACTTGTCAGGTTTCTCACTAGGGATCCGGTGGAACAATGGCTGCAAGAAGCCCAGGATAAGAAGGCGGAAGACTAAGGCCGCTCAAGACAGTGGCAAGAGGCCTACTTATCGCTTGTGCTTCTGGTTGTTGTCTTTTGTTTTTTGTGTGTTTCTTTCCTTTTGACGGCCTGGGTGTGCAGAGTCGCATGGGAAAATGTGTGATTCGGCGGGTTTTTTTTTTGTATCATAGTTTTTGTGGGATACTGGGATGAGCAATGGGGGATGGGACATTGTACCATAAGACATGGCATTGGAGGGGCGTTGGGAAAAGGGGGCGAGGTGGTCGGCTGTTCCTCCTTTGTTTTTTTTTTTTTTCTTCTTCATGCCTTTCTGTTTCCGTGGGAGCAACCGGGATTCGGGGACACGTGTGGGCAAAGCCGATGAGTGTCACAAGGGAATGGGTTGGGGCTTTCTCATGTCTTGTGTCCTGCCTTTCAGGTATAGAAGTCAGGCGGACCAAGATGGCACCCAACAACGAGAACAATATTAATCAAGCAAACATCAATGTTGAGGACCCATGGCGCCAACCAGAGAGGCTGCAAAACAGAAACAGACCAGTGCTCGTGATAGGACCTCAACCCCGGCCCCCTGTGAGGACGGGAAAAAGGAAGATGCAAGGTTGTAGACCCTCCCCTACAAAAGAGGGCGATGTGCTCCCAGCCTGGTCAGAGGATGAGGGTGAGCAAGAACGGGAGAAAAGGAGGGAAGAAAAAGGGACAGAGGACCAGCACAAGGAAGAACCTAGGCAGGGAAGCCGGGAAGACGCTAAGGGATCCACAAAAGATGACAGTGAGACAGGGGAGGACATTCCGGAGATTGTAATTGTAAGTAGCGATGACGAGGTGGATAGGGTCTCAAGGCCCAGGCCGGAAGGACAGGCATCAACAAGCAGAGCCTCAGAGGAGGTCCATGATTGGGAGGAGGTATTCGGCCCCACACCCAATCATTGGTTCGAGGTGTGGGCCAGCACTTTCAGACATGACTGGATTATTATAGCCCGTAGCCTCATGGCCGCTGGGGAGAGGGTCACGCCAACGGACTTTTTCTCAAAAGAAACATTACATGATATGAAGGCAACATTGGACGAGATACGGACCTACGGGCTGGGGGTGGCGCCGCCACCAAAGACAGAGGAGGGCAGGGGCGCGAAGCGCCAAAGAACGGACCGGGATACTGGGAATTAAGGGTTGGCAAACTGGGGTCGGATGGCACGATTGGATGTAAAATAGGGGCGTTGGGACTCAGCAAACCAATCGGGAAGAAAGACGGGGGTTGCATTTTGTTAAGTGGCTTCCTAGAAACAGAGTTAGTCAAGGCAAGGATGTGGGACTTTGTGTGAAACGATGCCTACTGACCTGAAACTTGCCAAAAGACATGAGGGCAAGCTGGGAGATGCAGGGAGGAACACCTTTTTGAGTATCAGCTACCTTTTCTGAGTTTGGCAAAGACGAAGGAGAGTGTGATTGGGGAATTCGAACATAAGGGGGTTCTCTCTTTGCTATTCAAACAATCAGTTTTTCGGATTTTTTTGTCTTCTCAACAAATTGTGATACTGGTTGGATTGGAAGGACTTGGGTCGGGCTACAGACACAATGAGTCTCTTAGAATGTACGGTCACATGTGTGAATGACGATGGTGTCCTGTTAAGAGAGGTTAGGGAACCTATGGGTAGAACGGCACGACAATGCTTTCCCCTAGGAGCCTAATCCGACGTAGTCCAGTCCTCAACATCGATATGCATGAGACTTGCAGCTATGAGTGAAAGACCGAGCAGGCTAGCATTGCTAAAGGCTGGGTGAATCCCGCCGCGAGCTAGACGCTAAGTCAAACGTATGAGAAAGATAAAGAAAAGTGGAGCAAGAAAATGCATAGCACGCTAAAACTAATGGCCACCACCTACCCCCCCCAACTGACAATCGGATCCGAGCGTCCCTTAGCCCACCCCCTCGGGCGCTTGTATTGAAAAGGGAATGGAAATAGGAATGGCCCTAACCAGGCTATTCAAGTATGAGTATGGAATGGAAAAAGGAATGGCCCTAACCAGGCTGTTCAAAGCTCGAGATTGGGAAAGAAGAACAAACCTAACCAGGTTGTTCGAAATGGCCCCTGACAAGGGTCATTCTTTGGAATTGGCACTGGGGTCCCTTTGCATGACTGCTTGAGACGCATGATATTCAAAGAGTTGAACCTTGGAAAAAGGACATTGGAAAGACTGAGCTTGGAAAAAAGATTGGACTCAGCCTTGGAAAGGATATTGGACTCAGCCTTGGAAAGGACACTGGACTCAGCCTTGGAAAAGATAATCGCATCAAGCATTGGACTGAGATTGAGCATCGGAATGAGACTGAGCATTGGAATTGGATTGAGTATTGGAAATTGCATTGCATAAACAGGGGACCCTAGGCGACTTGAAATGGACTTGGAAATGGCATTGAAATGGATTTCTCTTTTCTTTTAGTCTTTGGCCTCAGCGAGAGGGGGATACCGGTGCACGCACCGCGACCCCAAGACCTCTTGAGGGAAAAAGTCTCAGCACGACCTGCTCCTCCTTTAAGAGGATGAGGGTTAAAGGACTAAGGCACCTACCACTCGGATCGGTGCGGGACGTCCGGAACTGACCCCGACAATGAGCTCTAGTCAGGGAGTTCAAACTGCGCCTCCTGTTGAATGCCTAAACCTCAAAGGGCGAGAGAGCGAAATGGGCACGGAAGCCATTCTCATCTAGTCTATTTTGTCCTCTCCAACCACACGCCATGTCATAGAGGGGTGCCATGGCCGTTTAGGTCGGACCTCGGCTGCCGGCACTAAGTTGGGTGACACTGTCCAAGGGGAGGCGGAGTACCGAGTGGAGTCCGCGGCCACCACGGGGCATCGACACTGCCCTGCCGGAGCATTACAACCGTTTCGGCACTAATCGCGAGGTCTTCGTAACTGCACTCGCGGACTAATTGAGAGCCCCAACTCTCTTGGATTGGATGAGGTCGGATTCGCAAAACATACCACCACTTTGGGAGGAACGATTCGCGAGGGAGCCACTCTCGGGCAGGATGGGGTCCTGGGAGATAGGGACTAGACCTGTCTCACGGCTGCAAGGAGGCACCTCAAGGATGATGCCTATCTCCGACTTGGTGGCCGCCGGACTAGGGTAGGGGATGAGGTGAGTTATCAACAAGGGAAGGACTGATCACCCCTCCTCTCGCTGATAGGTCGGCATCCGCTTACTCATTCGGCAGGCAAGGTCTGCGTGCCTCCAAGTAAGAACCTGTAACGCGATGGGGACATCGCAATTGAGTGGGGGGAAGGTGTGCCATCTACATAAGGACAAAGCATGCAAAGAAGTAAAAGTCCCAGGAAAAGATGGACAAGAAAATTGCATTGGACGTGGCTGAGTTGGGCCATAAAGGTGCTTGACCAGATGGATTGTGAGAATTGCATTGGACTTAGCTGAATTGGGCCATAAAGGTGCCTGGTCAGACGGATTGTGAGAATTGCATTGGACTTGGCTGAGCTAGGCCACAAAGGAGCCGGTCATATGGAGTGTGAAAATTGCCTTTGGTCGTGGTTGAGCCGGGTCACAAAAGAGCTGACGAGGGGAAATAAAGAAAACAAAGTAAAAATGGAATGAAGAAAAGAGGGAAGGGGGGGGGGATTCTTGTATTTGAGTGAGGGGAAGAAAAGGACGGTCTTTCCAAAATCTACAAAGGATCAAAGAAAACGGGAAAAACGAAAGCACAAGGGAAAGGGGTAATGAACGGCAGAGCGATGAGGTAACTGGGGTGAGACGCGGGCAGGATTGGCAGGACCTGAGAAAAGGCCAAAAAAATGACCCAGGGGAAAGAAGGGAGCAGTGGGGAGTGGTGGAGAGATGGAATCGAGGTTATAATCAGCTAAGGGGAGTTGTGCCTGTGTTCATCAATTCGAAGTGGGTATCACCACAGCAAAGGCGGCGGTTGTACTGGACGAACAACCCCCTTCCGGAGCAGATGCCTGACATTGAGTCACATCCAAAAACTTGCCTACAATTGTTATCAGCAAAACCAAGGCAGGAAAAAACAACCGGACTCGGGTGACGAATGGTCATCCCGGGGAGGAAGTCCGTCTGCTGGGAATTAAGAGCAGGAAGCAAGGAGAGCCTCGCCTGCCTCGTGTTACTGGAGTCAAAGGAACGTCGGGCTGCCCTGCTTGGTATACAGAGTTGACTGAGAAGGAAACTCGTGTCTCGGTGGAGGGGAAGATACAAAGGTAGAGCTATGACAAAAATGAGAAGCTTTGTCTAAGCTGTAGGAAGGAAGGAGAAAGTTTGAAGAGGAAACCCCGACCCCCATACCCTCCCCCGCCCTGAGGGGGTAAAGACAAAAGGAACCCCCGAGAAAAGATTGGGAAGAAGACAAAAAGGACCCTGGCAAGCAAATCGCCCTTCTTGACCCTCCCCTCCATCCCCCCCGTCCGTGCCTCCAGATTCCTACTAACTATGGACTAATGTGCGATGGGGACATCGCGAATGGGTGGGGGGAATGTGTTGGGACCGGTGGGTCCCGAACGAATTCCCGTCACTCGAGAACTTGGATTTGGACGATTTGTGCACATCAGAGAAAATCGGGAGCAGTGACCAGACGTGGAAAAGACGGGCCATCTGGGGGGAGCGGCCTATCGGGTAGAAAACGACGAGGGAAGCTGGAAAAAACAGGAGAGACGGCTTCGAATACGCAAATGCAGAAGACGCAGCTTGTGAACAGGGAAGTGTCACGAATAGTCGACAGAACCAAGTATCAGGAGGCCACGAAGAACCAAGTATCAGAAGACGTCGGCAAAATAGCCGACAATTGGACGACGAGGACGCCAGACGGACCAAGGGAAAACAGGAACGTCACCCGGGGCGAAGCCGGAAAAGACGGGGGGGGGAAAAAGATTAGCGGAAAAGCAAGAAAAAGTCGGGGCGTCGATGAAGAATCACTGACAAAATGAAAAGGAGCGGGGGTGACGCGAGACATTTCGAAAAGGACATGGGATGCCCCAGAGGAGTCCTGAACTGAATGGGGTAGACGGTAAAAATAGCCAGGTGGCGCATGCGGACAGCCCCATTTGGACCATGGGTCAGGATGGGAAAAATACACCAAGCACAGCCGCGGCAAGCGCCGGCGCGGGAGGCTGCGGGAAAAGTAGAGCAATAGCGGCAAGGAGGCCTGACTGACAATCCGGAATGGTCGGGGCCAGCCAGGCCAAGAAAAATAAAAGTTCCAGGAGGGCCGCAAGGAAAAAGGGCTGCCCGAGGAAAATCGAAGTGAAAGGGACCTAGACGGGGAGTAGCGGTGGCCAAATGGAGCCCCTAGAGCCGCGGGGGTACCCAGACTGCAGTCTGAGGCACAACGGCCATGTGCCGGCTGCAAAATCAGACTTTGGGTGGGGCGCAACAGGTAGAAAGAGGGAAAATAGTTGTTGGACACTTGTCCCAGCTGAAATAAAGGAGGAAGGAGAGAAAAGGGGGAGAAAAAGGAGGAAGAAGAGACAAAGAGGGAGGAAAAGGTGGAAAAAAAAAAATGCCGCCAGGTTGGGACTGCAGCAGTAGGGACTGGCAGGTCTCAATGATGACCTCATCCCTCCAAGATTCTAGGAGGGCAGTCCGGATTGCAGAGATAAGGCCCTTGGGGCATTATCTCTGCAATATCCAAGTTAAATCAACCAAAATGCAAAAAAATGCTGATGTGAGTTGGCCGGCTATTTTTTTGACCTTAGATATGAGATCAGATCTTGTGAAGGAGGAGATCTAGCCGTTTTTTGTGAGCTGACACAAAACGGCTAGCTCCGGGATGAGGTGGCAGCAAAATGGAGGGAAAACAAAGCAAGGAAAAGGACAAAACTGGGAATTTGGCCCAAGGGTTGGGCCAGATTCATCATAAAGTTGAAAATTGAAGCAAAGGCCTCAATTTTGGAGGTAGGGAGACTTGAAAAGAGGCTGGAGCATTGTGGACCTTGGATCTCAGCCAGATCCAAGGCTGAGATGGATGCCACCACTTGAAAAATGCAACAACCTACTCCAAAAGGGCCTACATCTGGAAAAAGACAAGAAAAGGGCCTTTAGGCCCTTAATTTTCACCAAAGGCAGCATTTTGGGCATGGGTACCCCAAAAAGACAGCAGCTTGGGAAGGAAAAGAGGCCGGGGTAGGCCTATGAGTGGTCCGAAGTGGTACCAGCCACTTCGTCTGCATGTACCTGGCCAAAATAGGGCCCGGGTACCTCCAGAGAGGCCAAAACTTGAATTTTGGCCTTGGAGGTACCTCGGCCTACCAAGGGGGCACTTGGAGAGGCCTAGGGGCTAGGCGGTGCACTAGTTCCAGCCTACATAAGCTGGGAGTGCTGCCCGCCACTCCCATTTGAGCATGAGAGGTGCCCATGCTGCCAGTTTGAGCCCGTGAGAGCACTAGTGAGAGTACGACAAGGAGGAGTGAGCCAGTGTTAGCCTTGAAGCCTGACTATGGTGCTTTGAGGAAGGGAGGAGGACTAGGGAGCTAGGGAAGGAGGTCCGCCATTGCCCTCAGGGTGTGAGGTAGAAGGAGAGG